TCAATTCAGGTTTTTTGAGAACATTAATCACATTCTTCGAAAAGATTCAAAGAACACCTCTTAAAAAAAAAGAAAAGAAAAGAAAAGAAAACAACCCAAAGAACACCTCCTAAAGTTTACAAGAATGACTTTTTAATCTCAGAAAAAAAGTGTTCAGATAGCCAAAGGAATCCTGAGCAAAAAGAACAAAGCCTGAGGCAATATACCTCACTTCAAAACATAATAACAAGTTCTAGTAAACAAATCAAGTATGGAAGTGACATAAACACAAACACACAGAAAAATCCACCAGAACAAAGTACATGAAAATAAATCCACATCTTCACTGCCAATTAATTTTCATAATGCAGCAAGAATATATATCTGAGAAAATGTCTTCAGCAGTGGTACCAGTGAAACTATATTCACAGACAGAATAAAGAAACTTGTCTCCTTGTCTTACCATATAAAAAAAAACTAAAAATGAATCCACATTTAAATGTAAGTACTGCAATTATAATGCTACAAGAAGCAAATTGGGGAATGATTGACACGGTTCTCAGCAAAGGCATTTTTAGACATGACCTCAAAACACAGGCAAGGAGTAAATATCAACAAATAGGTTTACCAAAACCTGAAAAGCTTTTCCACTTTGAAGAGATCAGAATGAGTGAAAATATTTGCATACTCTTTATCTGACAAGGGGTATAGCACAGTAGGACAATTATAACTAGTAGAAATTAATTTAATATTTCAAGATAAGGATTTTGAATGCTCCTATGCAAAAAAGTGATATAACTAAATAGAGACACAACTACTTTGATCTGATCATTATGCTTTATTTACATGTACTAAAATGTCACACATTTTAGAAATATAGAAAATTATTCTCTATGAATTTACAGTATTTTTAAATGGAATTATTGGTACCACAAAAAGAAAATTTTCCCAGAGCTCAGCTAAGAGAAATCAATGTGTATGTAATAAGTTTTCATGTTAACATTTTGTACTTTAATACACAGCCGATAATTGTGTTTCCTTTGTGCAACTGGTGCCACGTGCATCGGAGTTATCTTTGAGCCACCTCTCACGGTATGTTTTGCCTCAGTAAAGGGCAGTTGCACAGGATGTAGCGGCCCATGACTGGAACACTATACTGGGAGGCTGAGTCAGAGGGATCACTGTTCAGGTCTACTCTGAGCAACACGGTGGGGTTCTGTTTCAATATTAAAATAAATAAATACAAAGGATGGAGGAGTAGATCAGTGCACATCTTTCCAAAAATGAAAGACAGAAGATTACAATCCGAACCGAGCACAACAAATAACCTCCAGAGACTGCTCACTGGTGATAGAAGGAAATCAAAGCGTATGTATTACAAAATTCACTCACAATGGAAATTTCAAAATGTGTTTTCTGATCTTTTCTTTGTTCTACTTTTGTTTGTTTGTTTTCATGAGGTACAGTTTCCCTATGTAGTTCAACTGACCTCAAATTTGCAGCACTCCTTTACCTCAGCCTTCTGAGTGCTGGGATTACAGGCATGTACCCCGGTGCCTGGATTATTCTGTTGTTTTTTTCTCGATTTGTTAATGAACATTTCCAAAACTTTCATAGAGTAAACAGTATTCTAAGGCAAAAATTCTAATATGAAGCAGAACAAAAATCTGTCCTCTAAAGCCACTGCATATCTGATTTAAGGGCTAGTTCTTCAGTAGCACCCTCACTGTCCTCCTAATGTTCTAAAACATTTTCTGTCGTAATAAGTCCACCAATGTTTGTTTGCTAGGTCAAGTGTCTTTAAGCATTTATCAAAGCACTCTTTCATCTTTTTAAAGTTGATCAGTGTTAGAGTATTTAAGTATGTATTGAATTTACTTAAATTAAACTTTATCAGTGTTACAATTAAACTTTTACAGTTACAATTAAAAGTTACAATTAAACTTTTACAATTAAACTTTTACAGGTTTACAATTAAACTTTTACAATTAAACTTTATCAGTTTTACTTTTTCCCCTTTGTAAATAATTCCAAAAATTTATCATGCCCAGTCATTTTCAGGCTCTAATCTAATAGATGTTTAAAATGGAATGATTCTAAGCTGTGTGCATGAATCACTCAAATAATGAAAATATTCTAATCATTCTTCTACCACACAAATCTCAAAGACAGACTTGTACTGTGATGTACATGAGTAAAAATTGAGATATATAAAAAAGTTTTCCATCTCCTAATTTTAACCAGAAAATAGATGTTTGAAATGGAATAATAAATTGGTCAAGAATATGTGTGAATTTTCATTATCATATATAAAAGCAAGTTAAAAATATAGTTTTTCCAATCATTATAACAGAGAGTGAGAAACTGTAAATAAAAGTGCACTTACTGGGTATATGGTGATGTGCAAATCTTCAGCTTATACTTTTCCTGGTAATTGTAATTATTGCTGTGATGAAAGACATCATGACTTGTGGACTGACTACATATAGAATTACCTATATAGTGCCTACTTTGAATTTGTTGTACCAGCAAATTCTTTTGAATAGGAATGAGTTTTAAGCTTCATATGACCTTGGATCTTACTATAACCAGCCTATACCACAATGAGTTCCCATCTGTAGGAATGTAGTCTGAGCAGATGTATAGTTACTGCCGTTGTCAGGGCAAAGGTGAATAATTTCTGCCTTCCACAATTCCACTAGGTTTTCTATGGAGAACATTTTCTTTTAATGTTAAATTGGATAATATTGCATTTTATGTGGACCACTGGGTTTCACTGTGAGGAAATGTTGACCAATACACAGGGCTCTGTTGACGTATGATATCATAAAGTGTTTATTCCTTTTTCTGAGGTAGTTTGCACCTTTGAAGAATGTACAGCTTTTTATTTTTTCCAGTGTTCAACCCAACACTATTGTTTAGCATTTTTTTGTGTTTCTTAAAGTTATTTCTATTCAGGAAGGTGTTCCCACTACATCAGTTATCCTTTTTAATTTTGCGCTTTCTTATTATTTTGTTTGTTTTGCTTTTTAGGTTTAAAAAGAGTAAAACAAGAAACAAAAAGGCAAGAAGATACACAAAACAAAACAAAGCAATAAAAATGATATGGGGTTTCAGAACACAGTGATAGGAATTAACAATGCTTGTTATATTACATATTGTTATCCTCAATGAAGTTTCTCTGATTACCAGATGCAAGAATGTAAGATAGATCAAATCATTTTTAAAGAGAATGAAGACAAATAAAAAAACACTGGAAACAACACAGAGCTTCACTAGACAATATAGTAGGAATTCACCAATGGTTGTCATATTGCATATTACTATCTTGAAATCAGTTGTTTAGATTACCAGATACAAGCATGCAAAATTGGTCAAAAAAGTTAACTGTTCCTTTCATTGAACCATTAGACATCAGCAGTACAATTATCCTAGCGATCCATAAATGTATACTTTTCCCTTGTTTCTTTCTTTTTCTCTTTTCCCTCATCCAAGTTGCTCCTTCCTTTGGGCAGTTTCTTTCCCTTTCATAATATCTATTATACATTTTGTATTTTATTTACCGTTTCAGGTTCTTACACTAGGGAGACAATATAGTGTTTACACATATGGGTCTGGTTTATTTCATTTATGAGTACGGTCTCTAGTTGCAACCATTTACCTATAAAAGCCTCAAATTATCTTTTTTATATTCTTCTGAGAAAACACCCAGAAAGGGAAGAGTTTGGTTAAGGGTGACCTCTAATCCTAATTTTGTGAGGAAACGTCACACTGATTTCCAGAGTGGTTTCACCGTTCTACTCTCCCACCAGCAGTGGAGAAGCATTTCTTTTTCTCCATAGCCTCTCTACCATTTGTTATTGGTTGACTTCATCTTTTATTCTTTTTTTTTTTCTGTCCTTTTGAGACATGATCACACTATGGAGTTCAGGCCAGACTTGAGCTCACTTTGAAGCCCACACTGGTCTCAAATTCGCTATGAACCACCTGCCTTGGCATCCCAATTTCTGGGATTACAGGTGTGCACCACCACGAGAAGTTTTGTTTGATTTCTTGATGATAGTCATTCTTTCTGGGGAGAGATGGAATCCACAGAGATTTAAACTGAATATAAAGATAAGTGTGGTACTAATTGCATACAGATTTACAGCAAACTGCAACGAATGCTGTAATATCAACAAACTGCAAACTATTTTGAATATATGCTCGCAAGAAATAGTTAAGCCCCAGTCAATCTGTCTCAACCTGTCAACTATTCAGATCATGTCCATGTAAGGCGGAAGCCCCATCACACTATGCCAAACAATGCAACACCCAGTTATAAACAGTCTAGTAATTTCCATCCATCACTTATTTTTCTGGGAACTAATGTGCCTGGGTGGATGTCTCTATAAATGTGTCCTGGTCCTGAGTGATATCCAGTAAACAAATAATTCTTGCTCCCATAAATGTACTAAACTTAATTTGTGGTCATATTTTTCTTTCATGATACAAATGTTCTGGTGTCTTAAAATTTCAGCTACATCAGGCCAAAGCTATTCCTGAGGCCGCACTGACATAAATAGACCTGAAATGGTTCCCTCAGGTGTCCAGCCTCCCTTCAGCTCCCCTCTTGGCAGCACCTAATAAGCGGCCTGTCAAAGAAGAGATGAGGTGCAAGCTTCCTGTGTCCAGTAGACTAAGCAAGGTCAAAAGTGGAAGGTAGAGGTTTGGGACTGATGGATGGCAAATTAAAACACACACACACATGCGTGCACACACACACTCTCACAAACACACATGCACACAGACACATCTTTTGTGAGCTGTGCTTCTGTTTGTTAAACACAAAGATTTGGTTCTGTGAGAAATTAACATTTCCTAAAATAGTGAGACATACAATACTGTTATGTTACCTTCACTGATTGGCTAGCTACTCTCTGTGCCCTGAGATATAAGAGATAGCTGAGTTTTTCTATCAGTGGTCTTTGACATATACCATATTTCTTTTGCCAGAACACCAAAAATTAATACATGAGAAATTTCACTGGGATTGAATTTATTTTTCACCACTGTAACTTCTTGCCATTATTTCTTAGGTGGCTCTTTGCCAGGTGGATCTGGAGGTGATTTTTTGGACAAAACAAAAAGCACAAGTAGTAACAACAAAATGACAACAAAAATCACAATCAAAATCGGTGTCAGAGATTTCTTTTTTTTGCCTTTCGTGGCCTGGGTGGAGCCGAAGAGGGGATTTTTCATCTTAGGAGGTGGGCCACTATCAACACTACCTCCAGTTCCATTAGATCTACAGGTGGGTGGAGCATGATTCTGGTCACAATGGCAGTTATGTTTATTGTTGCAGATGCCTCTCCGACTGCAGTTTCCAGGTGTACAAATAGGCCACCGAGGTATAGGAACACAATGCGAATTGATGCAAAATTTTCCAGTACCACACTCTGTACCATTTGGCACTGCACCGATATCCTTGTCGGTCCTTCCAAAATGATAGTCAAGACTCCAGCACTGCTCAGGATTCAAATTAATCCAAGTGAAGCTTTCATGTTCTTTCAAAATAGGAATTTCTTTCACATTATCACACTGAATTCTACCGCACAGAACATCTTCAGAACTACAGCTCTCGTATACCAGTTTATGTCTAGAACAGTGACCAAAGCGGTCACCTTTGGAATTGAGTTCTTCGTAGCAACGCACATTGGCAGTCCTGGCAGATGAACCAAATATTTTCTTACACTGGAAATTGTGGTTATTGCATGTCCCTTGAAAGCAGAAGCCCTTTCCCAGACAAGGAAACCCATCAGCCACATACACATCTTCTGGACACTCAGGTGAAATTCCATCACAAAACTCTGGCAGGTCACATTCACTGATCTGTTCTCTACATTCTGTGGTACCATTTACAATTTGGCAGTCTTCGCAGCAAAGCCCCGCAGCACAGTTAGAACCATCAGACAGAGTACAGCTTGTTGTACAGCATGGATCATTTTCACATGCTTTTGTGGTACCGCAGTCGCAAGCCTCTCCCTGGTCAAGCTCACCATTCCCGCAGAACTCGATTCTGAACACTTTCTGAGGTGCGTTATATAGACAGGTTTTCAGAACCCAAACACCAAACATAAATGTGGCAAAACTACAGTTGCTGAAAGCATTTGCAATTGGTATTGTGCTGTTCATGATACAAGGGCCTTCACATCGACAAAATACGAACTCCTCACGCAACCCTGAAAGAAATCCAATCATACGAGCCACAATTGTTGCATAGATAAGCACGTTGTCACCTGTATGACACCCTGCTCCACAACTCTGATGTTCTAGACATAATCCCCAAAAAGATGCATGTTGTGTAATGTCAGTACAAAATGTTTTCACAGTGATGAGAAGTACAACATCATGAATCACACGTTGATTGTAGAAACTTGTTTTCCACTGACAAAATTTATTTTTCAGATTCTGTATACTTGATGTCTCAGTAACGGGGTCTCTGTCAGTCCATACATCAATCGCCACAACTACTACATCAGCACCCATTGTTTTAAAATAAGAATCTGCTAGATTGACACTTAATAATAGTTCCATTTGAACTGCTGAGACATTCCTTTCCTTATAAACATATCGTGCATTGTCTACCACAAAACCAGACTCATACCAAAATTGGTGGACATACCAATTTTTAGTGGTACTTTGCTTCAGAATGGAATGCTTAATCTCTTTAAGCTTCATTTGCCATTCCTTTGATGTGTCTTCTTCTGTCACTTCATGTGGGAAGGGGTAGGAGTTAGCCTCCTTGGGGTGCACCTTATATGCCAAATGTTCAAATGTGGTAGAAAGATTTTTGGGCTTGATTTCATAAAGTGAGTTGTTTATGTATAGCATTCCTTGCAAACCACCAAAACAGGTGCTAAGAGCAACCAGAGACTTGAGGTCCCCTTCAGCATACCCATGATAGTAGCAATCCCTCGGGATAAAAGTTTGGTCTTCCTGGAGCACGCCCTGGTCTGTGTAGGTGACCAGAGTGATGTGTTTGTGCACCAACATCGTTTTGGTCTTCATATGAACAATGTGTCGCTGGCCCGCAAGATGTAGTCTGTAGGAGACCCAGCCTGTATTCTTTGTGCCTCTAGAAGTGCCAGTTATCCTGAACGGTATCAATACTTCAGGAGGATTGAAGTATTGGCAGTTGCCAGTCAGAGGCCACATAGACAGAATGGAAAATGCCCAAGTCCCGAGAAGCAAGAGAGTGAATTTCTTATTTCCCAAGGTGTTATCCAGTGCTATTCTAAAATAAAGGGTGAGAGCACACATGGCCGACTTTGGTTGTCTTCTGCCTTTGATTTAGTATTATGTAGCACTGATACTTAGTGGTCTGTCTTCTATTCAAAGCAATTCATCAGAACAACTAAAAATGAAACAAAAATAAATATAGAGATAGCAGTTTTAATATGATCAGGTAAATGTAGAGAGAACAGAGATGGGATTAGTTTTGGACTCAACCTATGTACAAATGGAATTAATTAATTTTCTTTTAAGTATTTCTGAGAGAGAGTCTTATACAGTGGCAGAAGAGCTACCTGCCACAGTTTGATCACTACTGAACCTAGATGAAGGCATATACATATATACATACATATATATATTAACATTTCCACAGTAAATTTTTAAAATAATAATGTCATCAGTGAAACAAGCATATCTTCTTTTCATGGAACTATCATGCTTTATATATGATGACTACAAAAAACATTATTTTTTCTATTTTGAATAAGAAATTACCTAGGGAAATAGACGTGGACAAATACATAAAAAACTCTTCACATATATTATATTTCTTCATGGCCTTTAATATTGTTCTCCAGGCCAAACTACATCCTTCCTGGTCCTTCCTCTAATCCTGACAAACTTGAAAGTATCAGAACATCACTAATACTTCAAAGGCATACTGTCTTCCGTCATGCACACCTTCATTCAGGAAGACAAAATATATTCATGGAACTGAAGTGGGTGGAGCAATTTTGGCTTCTAGAAGAATATTATTAAATATAGTTATCTTCCATGTATGACTAAGAAACAAAATATTTTGAACTTCCCTGGGCAGACTGAATCGAATGAAATTCAATCTTCTTAAGAAAAAAATTCTACTTTAGAAGGTGGAAAAGAACTAAGTGAACACCAACAGGTGGGAAATATATTTATTTGGTGTTTGAGGCAGAAGTATGTTATGCGAATCTGTAAAATTGGATCTTGTATTTCACATGATATCCTGATTTTTATTATGCTAATGAGAATATCCACAAGCTTCATCAGGACACTGAACTCAGCAGATAATACAGTGAGGGAAATAAAGCATTGCCGACCTCGTTAAGGAAATATCAGATCCCACAGTAGATAATATAAAACAAATCACAGAAGACTCAGCACTCACCTCTTCCAGGCCCAGCACACATTACTCTTGTTCTTCATTCTAAGTTTTGACTTGGTTCCACTTAGGATCATTATGATGTCACTTCCTGCAAGAAAAGGAACAATCTTTTCTTCCCTAGTCACTCTTCTTTCAGAGGAATTCCTTGTCCCTCCCTACATATCAATGGCATTATAGCAATCATTGGGAATGAAAAGCATCTCCTTTTCATTCTCAAAATCCCCTTATGCCTACTGCATGGGTGGTGGGTTATAATTAGTCTGGATTACCAGAATCATTTCCATCTCAGAGTACCATAACTTACTCTCTTCTTTATTCTTAACTCAATCCTCTCTAATCATCCATTTATACCACAAAACGGTGAAACTGACTTACTCAATTTTTCTCTGCTGAGTATCATATCCATGTGCACAATCCACATATCACCTTGAACTGGGTTATGTTTTACCATGCAACTCATCTTTCAATGTATTCTGTCATTATCCTATGGGTAGGACCTGAAATTTATTAGCAGCTTTGAGCATGCTATATTTTTTATCTTCATATCAACCACAGCTTGTATTCACATTTGACACTCATTTATTCATCAAATTTAGAAAGGAATTGAGTGACTTCTATTCCCTGATCACCTCCAGTTTCAAATCCTATCTTTATAGTGTGCTTTAATCTGTCTCACTGGTTTCATAATATGACTATGGACATGAAAAAAAATATTTAGGGTCTTTGGACCAAATAAAAGTTGTATAATAGAAAATACTAAAAGGCATGGATTCTTCCAATGATCTTCCTACTTAGCAAGTACATACTGGCTCTGTGTGTGTGTGTGTGTGTGTGTGTGTGTGTGTGTAGCAAAGCCTGAATAAATATTTTTGCCCCTGTACTGTAGAACTACACATTTGCGTGACTAACACAGAGATGAATAGTTGAGTCTCATTATTTCTGGGTCCAGTCCCCTTGATGGATTATTTTACCAGGTATCTATATGGAAAGATTTTTTTACTTCAGACCACACATGTGAAAACTCGGTGCATATTCTTCAGCCTTATGTAATTTAAATTCTAGAATTAGCTGCCTAAGGAGTGTCTCTCAGTGGAATCGAATAAGTGGCAGCTTCTTGCTCACTCTGGGCCCACATCACCACCCATTTTGAATTCTCATGAATTTCAGTGTGAATAAGTTTTATTTCCTTATCTCCCTTCAATGAGCATGAGTGTTCCTCCAGTATGAATGAGTTTGATTTTCTGGCCCTTGTTTCTATGCCGACTCCATGCTATATGATCATTTCATTTCTCTATTTCTGCTCAAATCATCACCTTGGGCCTACATTATTTCCTAAGCAGCAAACTATGTAATGGAATACTTGAACTATACCAAAGAAAAGTTCAACCCAACTTATACCATTTTCTATTGGAACCGGACGTCTGTATGTATGTTTTGAAGAGGTACTAAGTAAGGAGGTATGTAGTAACTGAACATAACATGGTTTACCTCCTACAGAGGACTATTATCAGAAAGAATAGGCCAAAACTGAAGCAGGAAGAAAAGACCAGACTACAGTAATAGTGGGCAAATCAATTTCATGGTTAAAATAACAAGCTGTCTGTTTAAAAGTTCTGCGGCACTAAACAAACTGCTCTGAGAAGCCGTGGAAACAAGTGTACTTATTCATTATTCTCCACAGTTCTCCTTTAAGACTGTGAGCCAAATGGCACGATCATACATGTAATGGTATCTCAGTTTGAGCTTAATTTATTTTGCAGTTCTGGGTGGAGGTTGCATGTGTGTTCGTGTGGGACAGATGGCGATGGTCCTGATTGTCAGCCGATCTAGAGTTTGTGAACTAAAACAAGCCTTTGCTGAATACTTTTGTTTGGGAACTGAATTGTTTGCCAACAGAAGCATTTGTGAACTGAGGTATTACTATTTTTTTTTTTTTTCAGATGCAGAGTAGACTTACAAGTCAAAACTATAATTGCCACTCTTGGTTTTGTTTTTGTTTTTTTTGTTTGTTTGTTTTTCTCCGGTACCAGGAATTGAACTCATGACCTTGCGCTTGCCAGGCAGGCACTGTGCCACTGAGCTAAATCCCCAGCCCCTAATCCCCACTCTTGGGAATCTGAGGTAGGAGGATAAATAGCAAGTTCAAAACCAACCTGGGCTGCATAGGAGTTTCAAGCCAGTCCAGGCTTTCTAAAACTCTTTCTCAAAAACAAGAATGGATGGGGCTGGGGATTTAGCTCAGCGGCAAAAGCGCCTGCCTGGCAAGCGCAAGGTCGTGAGTTCGGTTCCCGGTACCGGAGAAAAACCAAAAAAA